GTAAAATTGAAAGGTATATGAACCATATGTTATCTTTCCTTTAGAAGATTCCACTTAAAAACCTCTATTGAATGTAGGAGTTTTTTGTGCAGTTAGCTGACAGTGTTCTAGTAACATCTAAAGCTGCTCTGATTTGGACTAATATCTTACTCTTAGCACTGTATCTTTCAAATAGTCTTGGAAGTTACATAATACAGGCCATACAAATTTGCCTGCTTCTACTTTAAATGGGTGTCTGCATTATTTATTTTTTGGTGTCACTTTTGCCATGTTCTTTCATAATAGACCATAATAGAAAAGCTTGGGTACTCCTACAAGACACTTGCACCAACGTATTTTGCAAATTGTGTTTATTTAATCCTTATATTTTGTATGGCGTCTACATTTTTTAAGAAACAAAAATGTTACCCTCCCTAGTTTTATTGCTAGTACTGTATACACATTGCTGGTAACTCACATTCAAGGCTAATGCCAGCTGCAATTAAACTTCGTTTCAGTACCTACAGTACTTACCTGGGAACAAACCATATTAAACATATGGGCTGACTTGTATGGGGTTTCACCCATAGTAACATACAGTATTTAAAAAGCACTTTAGCTAGTTAAGACTGCTTTTCTGTTTGCTTTGGTATGATTTAATATCAGCTAAACCTTTGACTGATTTAGGGCCACTTTGTTGAATATTTACGGTGTCCATATTTGTGAACTGACAGAGCTTTATCATTTTGCACTGTGCTTGTAACCCAATCAGTTTTCAGTGGGACATGTTCTTTAAGACAAAGTGAACATTTTAAAAGCTGCCAAAACTGACATTTTAGATTTTCACACAGTAGTGGCTGGAATTAATACCCTTCATTTTGTGCTGTTCAGCCAGTATTGTTCCAGCCGACTTGACTGCTCATCAGATACAAAAAAATAGTCTAGCAAGCAAGGATCTTGTATTAGATTCTTTCTTGGTCCATTCTTGCATTTCTGGAGTAAAAGCTCCATGTGTTGCCCTTTTTGGGGGGGCATCACCTACCTGCACAAGCTTTTGTCTGTTGTCTAGGATCACTGCCAATCAAAATCACTCCCAGCCCACCAGTATAAAACTTGGCACAATGCCTCTTCCATTCATCTTGATCAGCAGGTGACACTCTGTGGGATGCCAAAAAGGCACCCTGATGTAAATCTAGTAGTTTTCTTAATATAGCTAATATAGAATTTAGACAGATTAACTTTGGTGGTGTAGGATTTATTTTTCTCTTTTATTGTTCATACTTACTACAGTGGACCCTCTACTTATGGAATTAATCCGTATTGGAACAGTGGCTGCAAGTCGAAAAGTCTGTAGGTCGAATCTCCATTGACCTACAATGCATTGAAAACCGATTAATCCCATAACTGGCAGTTTTTATTCTATTTTTGTTCCATTTTCGTTAATTTCTGGTCTGTAGGTCGATTCTCCAGCTGCAAGTCGAATCTAAATTTTGCTGCCAGAGAAGTCTGTAACTCGAAAAGTCTGTAAGTCGAGCCGTATGTAAGTCGAGGGTCCACTATTCTCCCCCTTCCCCCATCCTCTTTTTATCTTTACATTTCTACATTTGCTTCATTGAAATATTGGGCTCAAATAGCTTCCTATTTATACCTCTTTTCCCCCCGTGTTGTGTATAGATCATTAGGAGGTAGGCTTCCTGGTTCACAGAGGTTTGGTGGGAAGGAAAGAGTAAGAGTTAGCTAGAGGTGACTGGAGGCTTGGCTCTGTCCACCTTACTCCTGACTAATATGCAAGTATGCCTGAGGAAGCTTGCTCACCTTGGGCTCTCTAACCTCTGGCAATTGCAGAGAAAGTGGTTGTCAAAATGTGCATTAAATAAAAATAACCTTAGGAAGGACCTTATGGATCATCGGATCCAGCCCCTGTCAAGATGGCACAATGAGGTATTGAACTCCCAATCTGCAGCTAGATACCTAAACCACTGAGTCATCCATCACTGCATACTGTATTCTGACCCAGTTCCAGCCACTTATTCTGAAGAACTCTGACTACTCTGCAGTTTATGTTAAAGAAAACATGAGGTCGCAATCCAAACACACCACAATTATGCAAAAAACATGTATTATCTATACAACATGCTATGTCTACATGATAAAGCAGCTTATAGCTGATATATACACATAAATAAATATAGCTGATAAATATAACAGTCAAACAATCAGAAATGCATACATGTAAACATATTTAGAAGAAATCAGAATCTAGAATGAACCAAACCCTTCCATACAAACATAAAAAGAAATTATGACTATCAGTAAAACAGCTTTGACTCTTTTATCAAGTCCCCCTTTAGCCAAGTTTTTATTGAAAGGTGCCATATATGTACGTGTTTATGAACTGTAAGCTACTTACTAGGTACACATGGCAAGTTATATATGTATTATATATTATATTGCAGACAAATAAATATGTGTTGCTATTTGGGGTCTTTCTGAATATTGATTGTGTGTCACTATAGAACTCCCAACTGGGTTTTGTGTGTGTGCAATCTAGACATAGCCTGAGTCTCAGCTACAGGTTCTTGTGATCTAGGCTGCTTCCATGCAGAGGTTTCCTACCTCTCACAGGCAGTCATTATGCAACATTTTTTTTCTTTTTTCCTTAATGGATTTTCGGGGGGGGCATGGAGGAACCAATGGGAAAACAAAGAAGGGCTGGAAACAGAGTGAGGATAATGTTGTCAGGACATCCTGTAAGCTTCCATTAAGATTGTACAATAAAACCTAATATGGAGGCATTCTACTGTAATCTCCTCTCTGCCTTGGAGCCTTTGAAGTAGGAATGGGCAGCTTGTGGCCCACCAGATATTGTTGGATATTGCACCTCCCATCAGTTCTCTCAGTGAATTATGCTGGCTAGGACTGATAGAAGTTCCACTCCAACCAGTTGCCCACTTCTGCCTTAAAACGAAGGGTAGCCTGTAGATGACACAGCTTCAAAACACATTGTTGGCACAACCTTTCAAACATAATGGATTTGAGCTAATGGTGAGCTTTCAAGACTTCATTAAAAGCCAGACATGGGCTTTTAACATGTTTCAGCAGCACTTCCAATAAATGTTTTTACTAATAAAGTTCATAATAAATGAGACTAGATAGATTTTGTAGCACAGAGGCTGCATTTTTCATTGTGAAATCCACAACAGAGACAGAGTGATTTTTTTTAATTTTGTGGTATTGGGAGAAAGAAGAAGGAAAGACTTCCGTATGTCTGTTTAATTACATTCCAGCAGGACTGGTGAGGCACATTGCTCAATAAAAAAACCCCCAGAACCTTACATCTTTTTGTTATGCAGCTTTCTAAATTAGATTTCTTTGTCATTAGAGATTATTTCTATTAACTTGTATTTCTCTCCCCTTTTCACTGGGGAATGGAAAGCTGATTAAAACAATGATTTTTCATCAAGGGAGGCAGTTTTGCCCCCCTTTTCTCTTCCCTGTCATAGATGACTTACAGACAGGGAGGATCTGCTCACCCCAAAATTAGGAGGGCACCACAGACTTTAATTACAAGTTGCTTCTGTTTCCGATGTAGGTGAGGTGTGTGCACAAAGCTGAACATGTTCAGCAGTACAGTAGTCTACTTGGAGAACTAGCACTTAGAGAAACCCAAAGTATGATCTCACCTGACTCTAACTGGTGGCTAAGTGTGCGTTTCTCTCCCTCCCTGCCCCCCATCTTCCCATGCAGGGAATAAAAGGAGCAAGAGAGGCCAGGCATGCACAGCCACTGTTTTAGAGGCAGTGAGGATCTCCCTTGGGAGTTAGCTAACTCTCAAATTGAGCATGCACCTGGCTTTGCTCCTCCCGCTGTCACCTTCCCTCTGTGGGAAAAGTGAGGGGAGTACAAAGTCAGCTATGAGGATTCTGGCTTTCATTCCTTCAGGGAGGGAGCAAGGTGACCAGGGAAACATGGGCAGGCCAGCCTGGGTCCAGGCAAACTGGGCTGGACCTACAGGATGGGAGTTCTCTTCCCCATTTTACTCTCTTTTCAATTTTGAACTTTAAAATTACAAAACAGGAAAGAAAAAAAAGTAATGTGGTCCTTGTACAAAATCTATAAATAGGCATTGGTAATACTTTTATCAGACCACTAAAATATCAAAATCAGGTGAGCTATTGAAGCCTGCAGACTCTGTGTCAAGCTGGGCATTGCAGTGCTAGGGTAGGTAGCTGAGAAAGAGCAGAATCCAAAACTTATCCTGACCTGGAGATGTCTATTGCATCACAGGGCAAGAAAAATCAATTTGTCTTTCTTCATCTCGACAGACAAAGGGCTGCCAAACACTCAGTGTCTTCTCCATTTCCTTGTATCAAAGTATGCATACTTCCTGTTTGTCTTAGAGTAGAAGTATCCAGAAGAATGGGAATTAATCAGAAAAGTTGGAGGTTAAACTTAGCTGGCAGAGGACAGGGGAGGAGTAGAGTTGAGCCAAAACTAGGCTATTATCTAGCAGTTAAAGAAAGATTAGAATCCTTATTGTGGTGCAGTCTTTCTTGCGTGATGGTAGACCTCATTGAGAATCTATCCTGTGTGACTATTTGAAGCTGCATGACTTAAAAAAAACTATATAAATATCACATTAAAAAAATTAAACACACATTAAGATTAAAATAATCAAATATAATAGCAATTGAAAAACTACCATGTTCCTTTTATTTTTTTTACTCCAATTATATTCATCTTGATACTCTTGAGGGGACTACCAAGCTCTTTGTTCTGTACTTCTATACAGGGATACGTTGTTGTTGTTGAGTTTTTTTTTTTTACATGTAACGTGACTCTACTACCTTTTCTGTTCTTTTTGAATAATTTACATCCTTCAGTTGCTGTATTCCTGTCGTTGGAGTCATCCTTCCAAGTTTCAGTTATGCCTATCAAGTCATATTTACCTTCCTGGACTACGATTTCCAGTTCTTCTTGTTTGTTTCTCATACTCCTAGCATTTGTATATAGACACCAGAGATTGTGTGATTTGTGACCTGCTTTTCTTTGTACATTTTTATGAAAGCTGTTATTGGGCCTCATCTGAGCTGCCTGCTCTGTTCCTCTTATTGTGCATAAGCCTTAAGCTGTTTTAACCTCTGAGCTTGCATCTCCCTCCCCCTTCCAATTCAGTTTAAAGCCCTCCTGATGAAGTCCTTGATGTTATAGCCAACCACATTCTTCTAGGCCATGTGAGCTGCACAACCCATCACTTGCCAGCAATCTATCTGGCAGGAAGCAAAGCCTGTGGTTCTAAATGCAGATGTTTTAAGACTGCATCTCCCTTCAAGCCTAGCCAAGAGAGTGAATGGTGAGGAAAGCTGGAAGCGGCAGTCCAACAACAATGAGATTTTCCCTCCTTCTGGAGTTACAGTCTTTTAAGCAATCCTATTGTGAAAGACACAATCCTATTGTGAAAGATTTTGCCCACTCTGGGACATGTGTGTAACATTTGTGGACTTTGGGGGACTCAAGAACAGCTTTCCACATGTTGATCTTTGATAGAAAATTGTGATGCTACCTGGTGCCCATAATTATTTCCCTTTCAGACAGATTTCAGTTGTGTTTAACACACCATAACTTTTTAGTGGTTTTTAAAATCTCTTTAGAGGGAGCCCCTGTAGTCATAAAGGTATTTTTACTGACTTGGGGGCTTAAAGATTAACTTAGCAGTGTTGTGTGTAACACACAGTTGAGTTCTTCCATTCCATTTTGAGTCACAGGGGAGGCGATATGGACTTCGGACTTTTCTCCCGCTGCACCTTCCTATTTGCAGTGGTCTCTTTCCCTATTAGTTATTTTATCTGTTTGTCATATTTGTGCCCCAAGGTTTTCGTGGTAGCTAAGTGGAATTACCCAATCTTATCCATGTAGCAACACTAGCAGTAATTTTTAGGGTCTTCCGGTGAACCTCATGCCTTTGGATATTGATTAGAGTTCAGCATTCTTCCAGTTTGGGGTGGAGAATGCCTGACTCTGCAGATTTTGTTTGACTGCAGCAAAAGTCTAACAATGCCCTAATCAGCAGGCAGCAGTGTAAGGGTTGGGGGAGTTGCAGTCAGTCGTCACCCAGATTCCACATGCTCCCCACCCCTGTTCTAGCCACTACATCATACGTCTGTTCTACAAAGATGCTCACTTTAACTGCATCCCATTTTAAGGGTTTATAGAGTTCTGTGGAGGTGAGGTTAAAAGAAGGGATGTAACTCATTAGCAGAGCAGCTTGCAGAAGGTCTGCTGTTCCACTCCTGGATCTACAGCTCTTTCAACTCCTCCTTACCCTTGGATTTGTGAGATTCTGTTGGCATATCCTTGGCCTCCATTCAGTCAAGAGGACGTAAGAACAGTTCCATCACCAACCAGCTGATGTAAATGCCTTATAAGACCAGTCTGCATGTGTACTGCTTATGTATGCCCTCTGTTTTAGTAATTATAGTCAGTTTTTTGTTTTAATTTTCAGGCCTACTGAAGTCATTCTGAGGTCATTCTGATCTCCATAGAAGAAAGAGTATCTCACCTTGGCTTGAAGAAGAATTTAAAAATAATAATGTATCCAGTTCCGGGTTCCATGCATAGAACGGAAGGAGACAATGGACATCCTAGGAAACTTATCTCTTTCCTTTTTGTTTTTGGCATTACATTGTTATGTGCTGGATTTCTGCTTTCAATGTTTGTTCTACAGACATGCCCAAGTGGAGCCTTCGGTGACTGCAAAGGAGCTCTTAAAATCATTGGCCCCCTACTTGCTGTTGTCGGACTGGTTTGTATAATTCTGGCACAATCAAGAGCCAAAGGCTACCTCCGAGAGGTGCCTCTGCATGATGACCGGGTTTATGGGTTTGTTTTTTGCCGAGGAAACTGCCAGTTTGCTCAGTTTCTTGTCTTTGGTTTTTTGTTTTTAACTAGTGGGATGCTTATTAGCGTCCTTGGTATTTGGATCCCTGGATGCAGCCCCGGATGGCGCTACCAGCAGCCGTTTAACCATAGCAATACGTCCAGTGTTGAACTGCAGGACTGTGGATTTCATTCTGTTCAAACGATGGGTCCTTTGATCGTGCTTATTGGGTTGTGTTTTTTTGTGATAGCTCACATTAAAAAGAAGCAAAATGTAAGTTTCGTCCAAGAATCTTCTGTCCAGGAAGAAGAACAGCTAAATCCTGAATCATTTCATGTCACAGTTGGTGAGTGAATGACTTAGTCATGTAATGTTAGCAGTAGCCAGTTCCAGTTGTCAGCTCTTTAATTGTGGCAGAAGTCATTTAGGAGGGATGCTCTTGAAGGGTGGTGTGGGTATCATTAAAAAATGGAGAAAAGTTGCCTCTTTAGCTTCAGGATAATTAATTTTTTATATAAGCAAATTTAGCAAATTACTTAGCTAAAATCTAATCATTTGTCGACTAAGTTTTTTTCCCAGTTGATGATACCGTTATATTTTTTTAATTCTAAATAGAAAAATGCATAATAGGGATTTTATCCAGGAAAGGAGAGACTGAAGTTCTTTGTCATGGTCTCAGTGCCTACACAGAGCCATGCCCATCAGAATCTTCCAGACTGAGAGCTTTTGAGCATTAGCCTCTCTCTTCCAACCCGTAGTGCATACTTTGGCTGGCCTTTCCCTCAATTCTAGTCTGTTTACTTCAGCAGCCACACCCAAAATAGATGATTTCCTTTGAGATTTTTGTTGTGGTTGTTGTTGTTGTTATTATTATGTAGCAGTAGTAGTATATTCAAATAAAGTGCCTAGGGTAATAAAAACCTAAGAAGTAACGATTTAAACAAAAGTTTAAAGTTTTTTAAAATTTTAACTGTAACTACGAACTGCGAGAAGAATAAAAATCAGAAAAACAGTACGAGTCTCACAGATTAATTTGTAATAAGGCTCTCAAAGGAAATCTATTTTGGGTGTGGCCACTCTAAAATTATTTTAGAGCTCCAGAGCTGGAAGGGACCCAATGGGTCATTGAATCCAGCTCCTATCAAGGAGGCACTGTGGGGAATCAAACTTTCAATCTCTGGCTCTGCAGCCAAAGAAAGACCTTTAAACCTGCAAGATCTGCTTGTCTGTGTGGTTTTTTGTTGTTGTTATTGTTGTTGCTTTTGCTCAAATGTGATGGAATTAAGGGTGAGAGGATGTTGATGTTCTGTCTTTTTAAAAAGGCACGCTAGGCTACATCATTGCCAACAACATCTGTCTCAGTTGGGGTGGAGATCGTCTGTAAATTTCCTGGGATCCTGAAGGTGCTCATGGCTCTAGTTCCATCTCTTATGATCACCCCTCTACATCACAGTCAGCAATAATGACTCAGCAGGCTTCTGCTTCAGCATCAAAGCCAAAACCTTTGGCATTTGCTCAGCATAAGAAGACTGTCCTGGTATTGACCCAGTTGTCACTGAAGAAGTAAAAAGGGTAAGAGCACTCTCAGGGCCAGTCTGCAAAGAAAAAAATCAGACACATCACTGTAAATCTATGTCTCAGGCTGAGGAGGTACAGATAGTTCCCTTTCAACTGCCCAAGGACATCCTGCAACAAAACCATCTCCATAATCTCTTCTGGACACCACCAAACCCGACTCAGGATGTCCATAGCAGAGAGAGAAATAATGGTACTCAACTAACTGTGCTGACTACCCACATTTGGAAAAGGACTGGCTTAGACAACTCAATTGTGGCACTTGCTGCTTATAAATACAACAATTATATTGAGATGTCACACTTAACTGTGGTCTACCAGTTTATGACCTATAGCAGATAGGTCCTTTGACTGCCAGGTTGTCTTTTCACCTAAGCGGAGGGAAGATTGGCAGTTATGGTCAGGAAAATAGGAGTTCATCCATCCATATCCCAATTAACCTATAGACTTGAGTGAGAGTTCTGACTTACTATCAGTACCATCAGGATGATACAACCACCTCTAGATCTCAGCTGTCTTCTTCATAGCAGCAGCCCTTCACACATTAACCAAAGCCGACTTCAACTACAGGATCCAGACAAAGACTTGCAGAGTGAAATATGTGATTTTGATGAGTTTGTCAGAGTTGTCACTTGGAAAAAAAAACTGTAAATACGAGTATTGGGAGTGCTCCACATTGAGCTACCTGCATTGATTATCAAACCCACTGTATCATCTTTGGTATTACACTTGCTCAACATCTTCAGACCTGTAACAACATCACTATCAATTGATGGGTCTTCACTGTAATCTCATTGAGCTACCTGCATTGATTATCAAACCTATCATCTTTGGTATTAGACTTGCTCAACATCTTCAGACTTGTAACAACATCACCATCAATTGATGGGTCTTCACTGTAATCCGGTGGAGTTGTCGAATAGGGTTTAATCACCTCCCACCAGTGAATGTATTCTGCTTGACACCACCATCAGAGTCCTTGTTGCAGAATACAGAGTTTCTTCTTGGCAAGGGAGTAACTGGTATGAGAAGATGGAGCACAATAGGTTGTGACACTAGTTCAAGAAGTTATTGAGCATCCAGTGGACGTACTTTGCGTACTAAAGATGCTTAGTTTGATGGCCTTTACAATATTAGTTCTAATTCATCAAGCTGTGCATGAATCTCTTGCTGCCTTGGATTCTGATCCATTGTAACCTGGCTTACTTCCAGTGAATGTGACTGGCAGTATTGCCCAGAGTCTTGCTGTGCCTTTGATGGTTAACCAGATCAGAGAACCTGTTCTAAGCTGTGTCCTTTATTTCACTGCAGCCATTCATCAGAGAAAGAATGAATGCTTCCAGCAAAGGATGGGGAGTCCACTGCCTTCAGTACCAGATCCAATGCTGTTAGATTTTAAGGGATGTGTGGCATTGTATAAACTTTTTGGAACCTTTGGCAATGCTCAAGACTGGCAAAATCTTTCAACCACTATTCATTCGTACAGTTCATGTTGCCGCAAACAATTCCACCATGGCTTGATACATAAATAAGCAGGGTGACACCAAGTCCAGAAAACTAGTAGACCTCACACTGGTACATCTGACTCAACATCTTTCTCACCATGGTGCATGTCCCCTGGGAGATTAATCACCTGGCAATCCTGTTGAACAGAGTGTGCAGAGACATCCACAAGTGAGAGCTCCATCTAATATTACTGAAGGAGTTGCTTCAAAGATGAGGCCAACGTTGAATCAATGCATTTGTTACAAGGAAGAACAGGAAGCTACCACTTTATATCAGCAGAGCAGAAGTGTGATGGGATCTCCTGAGAGATGTCCTACTTCAATCCTGGAACAAGAAAAGACTTTACTGTTTCTGCTGTTGCTAACAAGGGTTATGATAAAAACTTTGCAGACAGAGACTGCATGTGATATTGATAGCACCATGTTTTTTTACATACTTCCTCTTCCCTTTGGCTAGATATCAGGATTGATTCTTCATCCAGTTGTCACTACTCTGTATCTTGTAGCATGGAGGATATAATCTGGAACAGAGTTATAAACATAATACAGAATCCCAGAACACTTTCCTCTTGGAAATTTACATGACCTACTCTCCTCTCTTTTGTGCCTAACTGACTTTGGCTGCTATGTTATCCAGAACCTGGAGTTGCAGCTCACAAATAGAATATATAAACAGAGGGAGAGCACATTTGGGGTAGGTGCTACAGGAGCAGGAAGGCAACCAGTGGTCAAAATCTCAGTCTGGAAGATTCTGAAGGGATTGGAGCAGCACCTGAAACCCTAGAAGGCCACCTGAAGAACAAGTGTTTCTATGAACTCTTGTTCATTGAGTGACAAGGTCTGAATTTCCCAGCAATGATTCTATAGACTCCAGTTTATGAGAATGACCAAGAACAGGCTTTATTGCAACCAAGGAACCATCAGAAACAGAAACACTATTCTTAACTCCCTCTGGGAGCTTCCTGGAAGGTTGAGTTCCCTGCACTAACTCCCCATGGAATGTCCTTTCAAGAGGGTCCCGTTAAAAGCCACAAGATGCCTTAAGAGTCCTGGTCTCTGAAAGCAGAGGGGAGGATGAACCTGACTCTAGTCAGAGTTTTTTCAAGAACAGCTGATAGAGCCTGGCAGCGGTTACTGGAGCCCACTCCTCTACTCCTCCTGGAGCATCCTCTGTCTCTTGCACTGGCACTTTCACCACCAGCACCACAACTGGGTTGTAGTTGACATCACTGCTCTTGCCAGATGACATGAGTGCCAAGGTTGTGTTGGAGGTGCAGTAGGCTCCTGACCCCAGGGTCCCTTGTCAGTGGTCCTTCCTCTACCCAGTGGACTTCAGTCCTGGATTTCCAATCACTTTCCACCTCAGCTGAGGCACAGAATCGTGATCCCAAACCTTGACAGCCTCTCCCCATGTCTCCTCCTCTCCCAAAGTCTCTACAGTGGTGCCTCGCTAGACGATGATAATCCATTCCACTGAAATCGCTGTTTAGCGAAATCATTGTCTAGCGAAAAGCATTTCCCCATTGGAATGCATTGAAACCTGTTTAATGCGTTCCAATGGGGAAGAATCGTCATTGTCTAGCGAAGATCAGCCATAGGAAAGCCTCTTTGTGAACCGCCAATCAGCTGTTTAAATCACTGTCTTGCGAAGCTTAGGTCCCGAAAACACCTGTTTTGCGAGCGCGGAAGGAGCTGTTAAAATCATCGTCTAGCGAAAATCGGTTTGCAAAGCAGGGACCAAACATTATCCAGCAAAATTCGCCCATAGGAATCACTGTTTTGCGAATCACTGTAGCGATCCCAAGAAGTCAATGTCTAGCGAAAAGACTGTCATACAGGGTAACTGTCTAGCGAGGCACCACTGTATCTCTCTCCCTCCATTTTCCTGAAGGAAGCCCCTGAGTCTTTCTCCTTGATCCCAACCTCCACCTTGGTCTCTCCCTTTCTCTCCCCTTCCATCAGCCAACTCCCTTGCAGGCACATGTTGTCCATCCCTCTTGCCTATTAGGGACCTGGGAGCTGTGGCCTCAGTCAACCCACCCAAGGTGCTGGCAGCAACCCCCTCACTGTTATAGTTTCTTTTGACAGATTTCCCCTCGTCCCCAGTACCTTATAGGAGATAAAATAGGTTCCATACTGCCTGTGTTTCATGACACAGGAATGTCAGTAAAAAACAGCGCATTCAGAGGGGATTAATGGAAACACTATATTTTCCTTTCTGTGTCCCCCCTTTTTTTAAATGCAAAAGGCATGTTATATTTTTTCCCATTAGATATGTAATCCCTACAAATAAGATAATTCCTAATGAAATGCATCTTGTGCTTTAGAAGGGGAATTGTCATGTGTGTTGCTCCAGACAAGATCTGTGGAAGAGTCTGCTTTTAAAACATAGGGTTTTTTTTCCCCTCTTAGGTGACACTGTTATGGTGTTCCCTCCTCCACCACCACCTTATTTTGCTGACTGTGCTCTACAAACATCAACTCCTAGCCTAGTGACGAGTGATTTGTCTTTAACTGAAAATCCTCCACCATACCACAGTACTTCTACTGACTGGTAAGGAGATTTATATGTCATTTTAACTGGTTTGCACATAGGTTAATGCAAAGGGCAATCCGCCAGATGTTGTTGGACTCCACCTTTCACCAACCCTGTAGCCAGGGATGAAGCATGCTGAGAGTTTCAGTCCCAGAAATATCTGAATGACTGCATTTTGCCCACTCCTTGGCCAATAAATACACTTAATGTAAAGGCCAAAGTGAAATGAAGCAGGAGATCCAGGACTGGACTTTCAAATATTTCTGTTTTTTTTTTTTCAATGTTTTGAAAGCAGCTGTGAGGGACAGGGATCAGATTAGTGCCAAAGTGCTGGGCAACTCAAGCTCCCACCTCCATTTCCTCAAAGCAGTCATGGAGAATGAGATGGGAGGCTGACATGATTTGGGTGGACATCCCCCCCCTTCTTTTATGATAAATACAGTCCTTCAAAGGATTTACTGTTGCGTAGGGAACTCCATGAGACTGTCATCTATGCCATCACACAGAAGTAATATACCTCTGTTTCGCTGCATTTTGTGAAAACCTTGGAAAAGTTACCTTTTTTGCACTGCAACTCCCAGAACCCTCCAGCTAGTATAGACATAGATCAAATTATTCTGGTTGGAGGATTCAGGAACTATAGTCTGAAAAGGAATTTTTCTAAGCTGTGATGAGAACAGTCAGTGATCATTTTCCTTCCACAAATGCTCTTTGTGAACTCTCAGTTTTCATCACAAGCAAGGACAGATGTAAAGAAATTCATCACGTAAGAAGCATTTTGAAAACAGGAATCTCAGTTTGAAAACAGGAATCTTAAATGAACTGTATCTGTGCCAGAGATAATTTCATCCTGTTAGTTCATAATGAAGCACTGTATTTTTATCATTTCTATTATCATTTTGTTAACCACTAGGGATGCTACATATGTAGAAAAGTTTGCAATGTATCAATATAATAATTACTAGGAGATTAAACTATGCCTGCGTTTATTTTCACGCTTTCTTTTTCAGAGAACAGTACAGTAATGTCTGAGGCCTGGCTCTTTACAGAGTGAATGAGCTGTTGTATGTCTTCTCAGGGAGTCTTGCAGCTTCTGAGGCTCTCTGCCGTTCCTCTGACTCATCTCAAAGACATAAGGCAAACAAAGCAGCTGTAAATAGTGGGTGTCTCTTGTCTTCCTCTCCCTACAACACCCGGGTGATCCATTGCCATCCACTTATCACACAGAGTAAAAAATGCTCAAGGCTAAAGTGAAAGGAAAGGGAAGGAAGGAAGGTAGGTAGGTATATTTAATGAATGATTGAAAGGAGCCACAGGGGTACAAGGTGAAAATAGGCCACGGTGTTGCCTGGCTTCCTCAGTAGCTGGCAAAAAGAGCAAGCAGTAATCTCCATGGGCAAAAAGGCAGAAGACTTTACAGCAGAAAACCCTGCTGAGCCAAGATACCTGTCACTGGCAAGCCCACCCAACACAAGCTACTCTGGATAATCTCTGGAGAGAAACTCAAGACAGGAGGGCCCCCAGAAAAATAGTCCCTTTTTGGTGGGTGCCTTGCATGGAATCAGAATAAAGGTTATCCTACTGTGTCAAGGTCTGCTGCCAATATCAAATAGTACTAGGGTACATGGCAGCTGCAGGATGGAGAAATTCTGGTGGCTTTGTGTCCTCCTCCCACCACCCCCATAGACAAACTCAGAACTGGTGACTTTGGAGACCTGAAAGTATAGAGCTTTTTGTGCTTGGATAGACCTTCATGTTCCAAGAGTGTGCTTTTGTAAATGTGAAGTTTAAATCGATTAAACATTGTAATAGAAAATATACTGCAGCGTAAGTGATGTCTATGGTACATAATTGGTGTGGTAAATGGTAACTCACCCTGCAGAAATAGGGACTGCAGAACAATCTATGAAGAGCATACAATTGCTACATAAAGACTCACACCTGTCTCCCTGATAATATAGCTATGCAGTGTGACGTTACTACTTCCAGTGTTTTCCTGCACCAGTTCATTATTTGTTGCTGGCATGGGGCAGGAAGACATTGAATGTGATGACATCACAGCTTACATTGTACAGAAATCAAATTCATTAAAGATATTTCTCACCTAATTTACTCCATCTCTCAAGAAACTCCAGAGGAGATTATTCCCATTAATATGTCTGGGTTATTAGTAGTTTCTTGTGCTTGATACGTTTGCCTACATAACAACACATAGATATTCTAAGGAAAGGTTGCTTTCCGCCTGGTTGGCTGAGCTCATCTTGCTTTTCAAGCCGGCTTCTTGAATCCCCAGATTTCCAAACACAAAGAGTTTCCAAATACCTTTTGTCACTTTTTGTCATTGACTTATGCATTTAACTGCCAGAAATGTGATATTGGCCGTCCATTTATACGGTTTGTGAAAGAACTGGAGACATTTAGAAATAATATCTCTGTATCAGCAGCTACACTGTATCTCTCTCCCTAATCCATTGATGCTTCTGGAGTGGAAGGATCAGTCGACAGGGTGCTCAGGGGACACCTAAATCCTGACATTGCTCAAGGAGGCTCCTTTCATGTCCCTCTATTAGCAGCTGTTAAGCCATAATAATTTTATATTATTTATAACAGAGGTGGGGGAAAATTCCCCCGCCACATGTTTTAATGGTTAAACTGCACTGCTGCAGTCAAGACTCTGCTTATAACTTGAGTTCACTCTTTATGGGCTCAGGTAGCCGGCTCAAGGTTGATTCAGCTTTCCATCCTTCTGAGATTAGTAAATAGAGGCCAATGTGTAGCCTGCATAATTCAGTTGTAAACATCCCAGAGAGTTCTTTAAGTGCTATTAAATCCTCTGTATATAAGCATCACACTTTGCTTTGAGCTAATTCCCATAACTGTCCTAATTGACCATGCTTTCTGGGGGCCAAAATATTTCAAATGATTCCCTATCAGTGATTTATATCATTTTGTCCTGCTCTTATCCAAAATGTGTCACAGAATAGCAGTTTTTTGGGGGAAATGACTACATGAAGGATTGCAGTCTAAAAAGCACAAAAGGATAAAGGGTTTGGGATAAAACAGATTATGTGGATAGATTTCAGTTGGCTTCAGGTCTGATTATGGAATAGAGACAGCTTTAGTTGCCTTGGTGAATATCCTATGCCAGGAAATGGACAGGGAGAGTGTATTCCAGTCGGTTTCTGTGGCTTTTGATATCATTCTGGACCATCTCTGAGATGGGACTTGGAGGCAGTATTTTACAGTGGTTCCAGTCCTGGAGGGATGACCTCAGAGGTTTGTGCTGGGAAGCGGTGTGCTCTTTCAGGTTTTTCAGGCTCTGAATCTCAGTATTCCCCAGGCAGAATTTTGCAACTCACAAACACAGCTATAGGCACCTAAAGGGGTTCCCAAGCACTAGAAGTATGTTCTTTTGATTTTTTTGACTCCAACTCCAAAAATTCCCCAGGCAGAATTATGGGAGTTTTAGACCACAACACACATTTACAGACACAACAGTTTACTCAGCTGGAAAAGGGTCTGTCTCTAAGAGTGCATTGCCTTCTCTAGTCATAGAGTTGGAAGAGACCACTGAAGCCATCCAGTCCAAACCCCACCCCCGCCCCGCCATGCGGGAACATCCATCAAAGTACTCCCAACAGAGGCCTATCCAGCCTCTGCTTAAAAACTCCAAAGGAGACTCCACCACCCTTTGAGGCATCCTATTCCACTGCCGGACAACTCTGACCGCCAGGAAGTTCTTCCTAATGTTCAAATGGAGTCTCTTTTCCTGTAGCTTGAAACCATTGCTCCGTGTCCTAGACTCTGGAGCCCTGGAAAACAAACGTGTCCCCTCTTCAACATGACATCCTTTCAAGTATTTAAACATGGCTATCGTGTCCCCTATCAACCTTTTTTTAAGGCTAAACATTCCCAGCTCCCTAAGCCACTCCTAATAGGATATTGATTCAAGACCTTTATCCATTTTAGTCGCCCTCCTCTGGACACGTTCCAGGTTGTCAACATACTTTTTGAATTGAGTTGCCTGGGACTTGACACAGTACTCCAGGTGAGGTCTGAGCAAAGCAGAATAGAGTGGTACTAGCACTTCCCTTGATCTAGATACTATAATCCTATTGATACAACCAAGAATTACAGCGGTTTCTTGGCAGCCACATCATACTGCTGACATGTTCAGCTTGTGGTATACCAAGACTCCTAGATCCCTTTCTCAGGTACTGTTGTCTAGCTATGTGTCTTCCATCCTATATCTGCGCAGTTCATTTTTTCTGCCTAGGTGTAGGACCTTACATTTCTCCCTGTTGAAATTCATTTTGTTAGTTTTGGCCCAGGACTCTAAACTGTCAAAGTCATTTTGAATTTTAATCCTGCCCTCTGGGGAATTAGCAACCCCTGACAATTTGGTATCATCTGCAAATTTAATCAACATTCTATTCCTTCATCCAAGTCATTGATAAAGATGTTGAATAACAAGGGACCCAGAACAGAACCCTGGGGCACCCCACTAGTCACCTCTTTCCAGGGCGAAGGGGAGCCATTTGTGGTCACCCTTTGAGTACGAAGGGGAGCCGTTTGTGGTCACCCTTTGAGTAAGGTCAGTCAACCAATTCCAAATCCACCTAACAGTAGAACTAACAATAGCTTTGCTTCTTGTCACAGTGATCATCCAGCTACCCATTAAGCTTTATAGTGCACACCTCCCAAAGAACAATAACTCCCAGGTAACATTGTGGCAACTTCCCTTTCCCCCCATATAAATGAGGAAACAAGGGCAGGGAGGCCATGCAGCTTGGCGATATGAGTAGGACATTCTTCAGGTGAGTGAAGGAATTCCATAGACAGGAACCATAGACTGAAATGTTCGGAGTCCTCACCAAACATGCCTGCCATGGCAGCAGGACCAGGAGAAGGCCCTCCCACAAAGAACTCAGAGGCTGGAAAGGATTACATCTGGGCTTGCAAATAGCCTGGACCCAGCCTGTATATTGCTTTATAGATCATAATGAGCACTTTGAAATGGACTGGCAGCCAGTGAAATTTCTTTAACAAGGGAGTTACATGATCCCTGTAACTACCTCTAATTAGCAGCCTCGCTGGAGCACTTTGAACCAGTTGAAGTTTCCAAACTGTCTTCAAAACCAGTCCCAGGTAGAGTGCATTGCAGTAATCCAAATGGGATGTAACTAAGGCATATGTATCACTATAGCCTGTAGCTTCCCAGGAATATTGAGCTCGATACTGTCACAAGCACGATCCTGGATGGAAGCTTGGAAATTTAATTGGCTGGTATAAGGTCCTGGGAGTTGTCCAAAAAAAGTAACTTTTCCAAACTCTGTTCTAAATGACATAGCTCTTTGCCTGATCTTGTAATGCTGCTCATAGAAACTGCAAGTGATGAAATAAATACTTATGCTAAGTGTTCTGGCCGTAAGGATTATTTTCAGCTTCCTCCAGCAGTGGGAATCTTAAATACTGTGCTTGATTCTATGGTCTTTTCTGTCTTGTGTGCCTCAATCTGCATCTCCCAACTGTCCAGCTGGCACCAAAAAGCCAGTTTAAAAATGGTTCTGCAAATATTTGGACTGTTCTCTCAAAAATATTTTTGAAAGGAAAAGTTATTGCTCAGTGACTTGTTTGTGGATACAGCCTGAAATGCTTTGTAACAGAAGCAATCTTTTGGCTTGTCTGCTGACATACTGTAAATGTTTTAGAACATGCGCATTACATAAGTAGTAATCCCCATGAAAATCCATTTTAGCTGGTGGCTAAGAGTGCTAAGTCAAAGCTGAGGAGAGTTAATGCTCTAACTTTCAGCTGTGGTAATGACTGATTTCTCAGGAACTGTGGTTACTGTAAATCACAGTCTAGGCAGGCAACTGGACCTCTTTATTTTTCTCCTGGCCTTTCCTGTGAGCTTGGCCTCTCTCACTAAAACCTGTTATTTTCCCACCTGCGAACCAGGAATTATCAGAGAAGATTTAGAGTGGAAGATGCTGTGGATCACCTTGAACAAGCAGGTTATAAGATGAAGGCTGAGTTCTAATAACATGACAAAAGGCCTTACTAGACAGGACATCAATTCTGTGTCTAGAAATAATGTGCCCTTGAGATTTAACAGTGTGCCTTAATCCATATTTGTCAAATTAGCTTGCTTTCATTTTATAATTGCTCAGTTGGCAGATAATACAACTATCATGGAAGAGAAATTGTAAGAGGAGGGAATCTCATTTGCCTTCATTTATTTAATGTGTGATCTTATCTTAACTCCCATATGGGAAAGAGTGAAGTCCCATTGGACATACAAGTTTTGATTCTGAGCAAATGCTTGCTGCATCTCTGGTGATGTGGTTGAGACATGCTTGAATTTCCCTCCCTCCCTTCTTTTCCATTTCCAGTTTTTACCAAACTAGAGAATGATCCCTGTGAGAAGCCTTTTTTTTTGCCAGTAATCTTAAATGTCAAGCTTAATAATGACACATAGTTTGTAAAGGGCCAGATCATATGCCTGGAGAGCATCTCTTTGAAACACTGAAACCTTAAGGTCACTTTATGCATTGCAAGATAGAAAATTTGTGTTTTGAAAAATCTGTACCTCAGTAAGAAACCCTGCCCAATTAGGGCACTTATAGCTGCCCATCATTGGCCACCAGATGGGCAGGTGGGGGGGTGTCTACTAGTGGAGATGGCCCCCCAAGGCACACAGTCAAGGATATCACCAAGCCAGAACCTAGTCTTGAATAAAAAAAAATATTGTCTGCTGTGGGTTTGAACCAAGCACTTGTTAGCCTCATGTTCATTCCTAAGCTAGTGAACTACTAAGACATAAGTGTGAATTTAAGACCTCAGAATTCCCTTCAAGAATAGAAGACCACACAGATGTGCAAGGAGTTGTAGAGTGGATCCAGGACTGACAGGGTCAAATGCTTAGGACTTTCTGAGAAGCAGAGACTATGACATCATATACAAACATACCCTAAGGTTCTTTGTTCCCTGTGAGCTACAAGTAGCTGCGACAGAAATGCATTTTCCAAGGAACAGTATCTTGTTACAGTCTATCTCTGTTGTCTTGCTAAATATTTGAAGATAATTGTGTCTTCAGTGTTTAATTAAGAACCATCAGCTTTGCCAAAGATCCCTCCATCATTTGTTTATATGGACCCATCTAGCTACCTCCATGTTGGACTTTCATTGAGGGGACTGCCATAGTGGATACCCGCAGTTTCAAATTTACCATTACACCACTGTGGCTTTCTAATTCTTACAGATCCTTGAACAGTGGAGTTGGAAGGGGCCTATTAAGCCATCAAGTCCAACCCCCTGTTCAATGCAGGAATTCTAATCAAAGTATATTTGACAGGTGGCTGTCTAATTTCCTCTTGAATGCTGCCAGCGTTGGAGCACTCACGACCTCCCAATGTAACTGGTTCCATTCTCACACTGCTCGAACAGTTAAGAAAGTTTTTCATGATATTCAACCTAAATCTGGTTTCCTGTAACTTGAGCCCTTTATTATGTGTCCTGCACTCTGGGATGATCAAGTCAAAATTCTGCCCCTCCTATGTATGACAGTCTTTCAAGTATGTGAAGAATCTTATCATATCTCCTCTCATCTTCTTTTCTCAAGGCTAAAAATGCCTAGTTCTTTCAGTCTTTCTTTGTAAGAGCTGGTTCCCTGATCATACTTTTTTCTCAAGGCTAAAAATGCCTAGTTCTTCCAGTCTTTCCTTGTAAGAGTTGTTTCCCTGATCATACTTGTTGTCCTCTGAACTTGATCCAGTTTGTCAGCATCCTTCTTAAAGTGCAGTGTCCAGAACTGAATATAGTACTCAAGATGAGAATTTTTACTGGTCTTTGACCATAATAAAGTATTCGATTCGATTCAAAAGATGGGAAATAACTAGTGCCAAATAGAGGGGAACTAGTACTTCACAGGATTTGGAGACTATATGTCTGTTAATGTAGGCCAAAATAGTGTTGGCCTTTTTTGCAATCACATTACACTGTTGGCTCATGGTCTATAACGGTGATGGTGAACCTATGGCATGCATGCCACAGCTGGCACGCGGAGCCCTTTCTTCTGGCATGCGAGCCATAGGTCACTACTCCCCCAGCCCCCCCTGTGCAGCTAAACCTCATGAGGCGGCTGCAGCCGGGATTCCCCCTTCCCCCGCCACTTCCGCGTCCTCTGGGCCCGTTGGCATGGTTCCCCCTTAAACTGCCACTTCCGGTTCTGGGTCCTCCAGGTCCATCGCCATGATTTCCCCTTAAACTGCCACTTCCAGTTCTGGTCTTCTGGGTCCGAGTCCGTCACTGCCACAATTGCAGTGGCGGCACACCACCCGCTGTCCCCCCCCCCATTTTGGGCACGCGAGCCCAAAAAGGTTCGCCGCCACTAATCTACAATAACAAATCACTCTGCCTTGAGTAAAAAGATCATTGCCATCTATAGATTTGTGTCTGATTTTTCCACTAACAGTGCTCAGAGCAGTTCACAAGAGATCAGCAAACAAGGTTCGGACTGCCACCTACAGTCCCAAAAAATTACCACAAAAATATAACCCAAGTTGATATCCTAGTATGATTGCTCCCAGCCTTTATGCTATGTTGATAAAATCAACAACCAAGGGGGGGGGACCTCAGAGGCAGAGGCATAATTGAAGTGATACTTCAAGGCATTGCAAGTGAACTAATTCAGGCGCCCACTTCCTAGACTTTTATTTTTAAAGGATTATTTATGCTTTCACACTGACTAGACATAAACAAACAGTGACACCATCATGGCTGAACTAGGAGGCAGGCATCCTGGGACCTGCTTGGCAAAATGATCAGGGAGGGTTTCTAAACATGGACAGTAACAAACCAGAAACTGGATGCTGTGCATTTGTACGCACCCTCAAATTTCAGTTACAGTGCAGTCTGAGGCTGCACCTACACGTATGGTCAAGTGCATAGCCATGCCTGGTATAAATGAGGTGGTGAGAACAGTAACTGCAACTGCAGCATTAGCAGCAGTAACACCTAAGAAGGAAAGCAAGAACATGCAAGCTCAGGGAGACTCTGCATGTTAGAAGTAGCTGGGCCTCTGGCTACACCTGCAAGAGGAACAAGGTGAAGGCAGCATCAGCAGCCTTACAGGAGCAGCCTGCCCCCCCCCCCAAAAAAACCCACAGATATTTAACTTTGCCCTACACAGGGGGACACGGAACCAACTGCCACTGCCATATTGGGGACTCAGATGTCAGACAACCTTATTCCTGTCCACCTACTCATGGCAGGCCAAGGACTGCAGTGCTCTCAACTGTGTCCTCTCTGTCTTTTTCCAGTTTCCTGGGAGCACTGCCAAAGTTTTGAACAGTTACTTTATGAACTACATTTCCCATAATCCTCCAGCCAACATAGCAAATTGAAATGTAGTTTATGGGTTATGGAACTGTATGACGGTGGGACGTTCATCTTCCACATTGCTTTTTCCAGCCCTTGAATCCACCAGATCTTTTGATCTCTGAATGGTATCGCTTCTTGGTTGCAATGTATGCAAATATACATTACCTTGAATGCAGTGGGAATTGCTTCTGAGTAAATTTACACAGGATTAGACTAAGCATGTGTTTATCTTTGAAGTAATGGGTGGGAAGAGAGAGACGTGGAGGGTATCCAATGGGGCCATGAAGTTCAGAGTCTAGCATGCACTACAATGGGCAAAGGTCTTGTTTGGTTAATGTGAATTTTCAGCTCGGCATGCTTGTCCAAGCACATCCTTGCTCAAGACATTCCAGGACCAGCCTGCTCTGTAATGGATCAGAGCTGCAACACTGTTGAAGATTTCTCCGTCGGCGTGTTTTCAGTCACTCCGTGTCATTCCAACAACTCCACGTCTGTGCCTGAAGCCAAGAAATCTGGTGCCACCTTACTTTTCTCTGGCTTATTTCTGGGAGGCATAGGAGTGACATTCATGGTAATGGGGTGGGTGAAAAATGTAGGCATCATTCGCTTTGTATGGACCTTGTTGGTTGGACCTGTTCTGCTTTTGGTTGGTGTGACATTTTTGCTGATTGCCGTGTGCAAATTTAAAATGCTTGCATGCAACTCTTGGAACCAGAGAGAAGAAGAAAGAGAATCCAATCCTAACCAGACTCCTAGTGGACGGTCCTTTGTTTTTACTGGAATTAGGCAACCTATAACTTTCCATGGTGCTACAGTGGTACAGTACATTCCTTCTTATCCAACACAGGAAGGTGTCAGCCTGAATTCTGCCAATTTCTCCCAAGCTCACAGTCATTCCGCACCAGTAATTCCTGTTGCTGGCCCTCCGCACTACTACACTGTTTCTTCTGTAGACGAGAACAACTCTGCCTTCCTTATGATGGGAACCAGAAATGAAAGGTGAGTTAGAATTTGTGTGTTACATTTCAGTGGCAAAGATTATGAGAACTGGGTGGCTGTATGATTGTAGCATAGTTATAGTCTTTGCTCAGACAGAATTTCAATGATTGACTTTAAATAAGAACATTGCCTGAAGCATGAGCTGTAACTGGTTCACAGATATTACTGTTCCAATTAGTTAATGAACTGGCATTCACTGAGCATTGTTAGTCTTCTGGGTGATAATGTTTTCCTCAGTTCAGTGTTATCATCCCCATTGATATGTGTTTTTAATCTTTGCTGTGTCTGATTCAGGGTCTGACTCAGAAGAAGAGTGCCTTGGATCTCATTGAGAATACGTTGTCTTCAGCGTTGAGCAACATAGCCCTATGTATTCTCAAAGGCTTTCACAGTTAGGATCCGATGGGTGTTGTAGGTTTTTTGGGCTGTCTGGCCGTATTCTTGTACCTCAAGAACAAGGTCAGACAGCCCGAAAAACCTACAACAACCATAGCCCTTTGTACTTTCTCATTCTGGAACCTCAGTGCTGACAGCACCTGAGGAGTTGGTCACTTTGCCAGGAATAATGACTGAATCAGTCCTAAATAGAAACCTTTTCTGAAGAGTATTAGAGAAAGAGAACAATGATTCAGCCTTACAGATGATCTGTATCACAAAGAGACATTGGGAAGTTGTGATTCACAGAGATTCAAGAGGCACTGCAGCCCATTGTTCTTTTTGAGTTGTGAAGAATTAAGGCCTGTCCAGACTGGCTGTTTCTATGTGGGCTGGATCAGGCTACAGCGGGTCAGTTTAGGTGGCGGCGGGGAGGAGCAATGTGCCATTTGGGGCACTCCTGTCCAGACATCATATAGAATTTCAGCTTGTTCACAGTCATTTAAACACTTCCTCTGATGCTCTGCAGACGATCAGGAAAAGTGAAATTTTATTTTTTACATCTGTTAAAGACTGGCTGTTTCTATGTGGGCTGGATCAGGCTACAGCGGGTCAGTTTAGGTGGTGGTGGGGAGGAGCAATGTGCCATTTGGGGCACTCCTGTCCAGACATCATATAGAATTTCAGCTTGTTCACAGTCATTTAAACACTTCCCCTGATGCTCTGCAGAGGATCAGGAAAAGTGAAATTTTATTTTTTACATCTGTTATATTGCTGGCTATGTGATGAATCACCCTGATTAAATGAAAATAATATTTTTTTTATTTGCCTCTCTATGTACTACCAATCAAGAATGTGCCTGCAGCCATAATTTCAATTGGCAATGCGAAGGTTGTTCTTCCTGACGTTTTGCTAGTCTCTGAAGATGCCGGCCACAGAGACTGGCGAAACGTCAGGAAGAACAACCTTCAGAACATGGCCAAAGAGCCCGAAAAACCCACAACAACCATTTATCAAACTATTTTTTTTTAAATTATCACATGAGCAATGATCTAGCAGATGCAAAGAAAATAATTTCACTTCCCCTGACCCTCTGCAGATGACTAGGGGAAGTGTTTGATTTCTGATATCTTGAAGCCCCTTATAAGCTGCTTCGAAATACCATAAATTGACACTGGAAGGACCTGCATTCTAAGCAACCCATAATTGCTGGGAATGGACTAAACTGGAGTTCTCTAAACTGTACCAAAACAGTAGAACCCCTTGACAGGGATTCAAAAGGGTGTGGCTTGGGGCAAATCGGTCTGTTCCTGCGATGTCCATGTGTGGATGCCAGAAAAAAAAGAGAGCAGACCAACCTGACCAATCAGTGTACTCAACAGTGGGAGAAGTGCCTGTGTGGATAGGCTCTTAGTCTCTTCCTATGTAGTTTGCATCACTTCAAGAGTGGATAAAAATCAATGATTAATTTTTTTGTAAAAAGATCAATTTAAATCACAATTTACATTTTAAAAAATTTTTAAATTTAAATAATCAAAAAAATCTCATTTTTAAAATTTAGATTATTATTTAAATTGTGATTTAAGTGGATTTGATTTAAATGAAGTCCACCCTATGCTCCTTGATGATGCTATTCATAATCCCCCCCCCCTCTGCTTCACATTTTGAGGTCAACTGACAGTCCGGAAGAACCTGAACGGATGCTGGATGAAGGGCTTTGTGGTGACTTCCCACCTCCATCTTACGACAAACTATTCCCAAACTCATCATAAAGAGTATAACAGCATCCCTGACACCTCCATTAAGACTTCACTTGCTCCTAGAAGACACCCATGCTAACAAGCCTGAACCAGAAACACAATAGTGTGAATTACGTCAATGTACCTCTTGTGGCTCTGACTTAACTATTGTTTCCTGCTGAAAATGAGTGCTGACCTGATTCTGAGCGCAAGGAAACATGTCCCTTCCAAATAAGCACTCCTTTGACTGTTGTGTTTGGCTCCATTTTTAAAAGATGACATGACCTTCCCTCTTTCCTGCTCACATTCTTTGTTCTGATCACTCTTTTGAAGGAATTAAAACACCACATTAGTTGTTATTTTTGGGTATTTGATTTCATACAGGTACATATACAGGGCCGAATTTTGGGGTGGTGATGGCAGATTAGAGATGAATTGTGACACCAGCAAGTGCAGGAGAGGAAGGGCTTTGTGGAGAAAAAGTATGAGCTTTAGGCAGATCTGAGGGTATGGTCACATCGTCAATAAGAACTACTGTTGAATCAGATTTAGCATAATTAATATTGATTTAAAATAAGGTGACTTACACAACATACAAGGAAACATGGGGTGGGGGTTGTCTGGAAAAAAATGTTTTTTGGTTGGAAAGCAAAGTAAAATACAGGAAGAGTTTCTAGAGGATGTTTAGCCCAAAGAGAAGGGTGGTTCCTCCTCCTCCTCCTCCTTTGCTAGCTTGCACACTAGATGGAGAATTTGGGTTTCCTGCATCCATGGGAGAGAAATCACTCTTGCAATGCCCTTGTGGTACAGTAATTCTAAATCTGTATCTCCTTCTCTGTGCATGCATGTGTGTTTGCCTGATTCTTAGGCACTGATCTCTCTCTCTCTCTCTCTCTCTCTCTCTGTGTGTGTGTGTGTGTGTGTGTGTGTGTGTGTGTCCCTCCTAAGGAGGGAACATTTCTGGCCAGTTTCAGCCTCTCTCTCTCTCTTCCCTTCACCCAGGCTCTCTGTGTGTGCAAGGCAGTTTAAGACAGTTTTCCCAAGAAGACTCATACACCGACCCAAAAATCATGTGGTTATGACATTAAACCAAATTCAGTCCCCCCCCCCAATCTCTCTATCGATTTATTTCCATAGTGTAACCCTGCCCTGAGTTAAGTACCAGGTCCTGCCTTCCACAATTCCTCTGAGGTCACATCCATGCACAGTACAGAAGTCACTTCAGGCAGCAAATGCTGGGAAGCAGTACCAAGGGATTGGAGGAGATCTCAGCCCTATGTACATCCAACTGTGGTCTTTAGTCTAGCCTCCTATCCTTGTGGGGAGGAGGCAGTGGCAAAGGCTGTCCTTTCCAGCAGTGAAAATTGCCTGCAAATGCATACAAGGCCATATTTTGCTTTTTCAGATTACAATTCTCAGAATTCTACAGCTAGCGTCATCATTTTCTGTACTGCCTATAGCGTTCTGGGAATTTCAGTTGAACCCCACCTTTTGCACCCATCATTTCCCATATCTAGTCCTATTGCCTGTATTAAAAGACGATTCAATTGCCAGAACAATTTACTTTTTTAGGCTATCTTGTTCTTCCTCACCACAAGCAGCAAAATATCAGGGTTGGCCTTAAGCAGCGTGCAGATGCAGTGATGTTAATAACAGAGATGGCCTTCTTTTGATCTTTCATTCTTTCACCAATAGCAGAAATGGCCGTTGCATGTTTAGTCCCACACAGAGGGGCAGGTTCATACAGAGTGCCCTTCTGTCTTCTCTTGGCATTACAAAGGAAGAGATGAAATAGGCAAGTATTATCGACAACCTTCTGTACAAATTTACAGATCTGATTGTGAAGATCTGGAAATGACAGCCTGTTGTTTTTTCTCTCATGTCTGGCAGTATGTTTTTGATTCTCTGCTGTCACTGTTGCATCTGCTAATTTCTGAGCTGGATTAGAAAGTTAAATGCAACTCTTGTTTTATTGTTTTAAAAATTGCATGTTATCCTGATCTCTGTCTCTGATAGATCAACTTTGCCCTTACCTGGATGAGAGGAGCCTGACAACAGTCACACATGCACTGGTAACAACCAGACTGGACTACTGCAATGCACTATACATGGGTCAACCTTTGAAGATGGTCCGGTGATTGCAACTGGCACAGAACTGGGCTGCGCAGCTGGTAAGTAGTGCTGCCGCCTGGACTGATATCACACCAGTTCTGAAAAATTTACACTGGCTGCCAGTTGCTGCTCGGGCCCAATTCAAAGTGCTTACTATGACATATAAAGCCCTAAACGGCTTAGGACCTGGTTACCTAACGGACCGCCTTCTTCCATACGAGCCTGCCCATACTCTAAGATCAGGCCAGGAGGCCCTTCTGAAAGAGGTGAGAGGGACTGCATGTCGAAATAGGGCCTTCTCAGCTGTTGCCCCCCCCCCAACTTTGGAACACCCTCCCTACAGAGATCCGCCTGGCTCCAACACTTTTGGCTTTTCGGCACCAGGCGAAACCTTTCTGTTTAGCCAGCATTTTAATTAAATAGTATTCTTTAGCTGGCCATATGAGCAGCAGGACTTATTAATATTAATGTTTTAATGATTGTTTTTAATGTAGGATATTATTATATTGCCTATTTTTAATAGTTTTAATGTTTTAAAAGGTTTAATATTGTTGTACGCTGCTCAAAGACCACTGATAATGGCGCGGCTAAAAAAAATCTTGTAAATAAATAAATAAATAACAGAAATTAACTCTGCTCCTGAGCATGGATGGCAAGAACCCACACTAGCCTTGAGAAGGAATTGAGAGGCATGTTGTCAATGTATGCAGCAATCCAAAGCACATTTGCAGGAACTCAACATTGCTCAACACAATGAAACTTGGTCCCAGGTAGACATATTGGCCGTTGTCTTCAGATCATGTGAGGCCCAAACAGATCTTAATTTGCCATCATTTGGGAGTAAAGGAATAACAGCTGCTCTTCCTTTAATACAATAATAGCTGTTACTCAGATCTTTCTGTTGCACAAGCTGAAACTCACAGTTCTCGTCTAAAGCTGAGAGCAAACAGTAGAAACAACTAGAAAATTATGCGGTACAGACTGAGTCCCCCCTCCTTTCACAAGCATTTCTGTCAATGGACACCAGGGGGCAGAAGAGAGAAGGATGCCAAGAAAGGTCCCAAAAGCTTTTGGGTCTTCCAGGTTGCTGCAGAAATCGTGAAGCAATGCCTTGAAACTTTGCATTGTCTGTCACATGTACTGAGATGGGGAAAGGTGTTTTTTTTTCCCTCCCAGAATTCTACACGAGCATGACTTCTGTGACTACTTAGACAGCTAGTTTTTTAAAACCATTTAAAAAGTGAAGATGCCGGCCACAGAGACTGGCGAAACGTCAGGAAGAACAACCTTCAGAACACGGGCAAAGAGCCTGAAAAACCCACAACAACCATTAGATCCCAGGCGTGAAAGCCTTCGCGAATACATTTAAAAACAGTTGGAGAGTATCTGTCACCTTCTAAACAGTTTCCAGCCAGCTGTTGGAATGGAATTGTCATAAACAATGTCTCTCTTTTTTAAAAAAAGTTTTAAAATCCACCAGTCTGTGTCACCCTACTACCCTTCTCCATGCACTTCCTCTCCCAAAGTACACCTAGCATATTACACTTTTGCAGCGCCTGCCTTGAATTGTTGTCATATTCACATTAACTGGCAGGATCGCTCACTGAGGTGGAGTATTTGGCTGCAGAACCAGGGGTTAAGAGTTTGATTCTCCACTGTGCTTCCTGGGAGAAGCGCCAGCCTGTGTGGCCTTGGACAAGCTGCACAGTGCCTGGGCACCTCCAGAAGAAAAGAACAGTAAAGCACTTGTAATCATACATTCATAGAATAATTGAGTTGGAAAGGGCCTATAAGACCATCAAGACCAACCCTGTGCTCAGTGGAGGAATCCAAATCAAAGCAGATCTGATGGACGGCTGACCAATTTTCTCTGGAATGGCACTTCTGAGTACTCTCTACCTGGAAAAAACCTGGAAGTTGAAAGCAAAGTAACAGCACATAATTATTAATATACAGACTTATACAACGTCTCATCACAAGGCATAGTGACCACCACCCCCTTGCCCATGTGGCTTTAAAAAGAATTTGATACATTCATAGGGGATAGATATCGATGGCTAGTAGTCATGATGGTATGCATCTAGCAAAGTCATATACAGTAGCTACAACTATAACTTAGATATTGAAAAGTAGCTGATAGACTGGCAGACACTACCCGGTTCTTGGTTGCATAATTACAGTACAGTAAACCCCCCCACCACCACCAATTGCTTCTACATACGAGTTGCTAGGGAGCAAGGCTATTGCACTTGTGGCCTGTCCCGTAAGTGTCTGGCTGGCCACTGTAGGAAGAGACCACTGGACAGGGCATGCCCCTGCCTTTGTTTTCACCACCAAGATCCAGTCTTGGAACACATAAAGGGAAAATTAAGTGCCCCTGGGCAAAGATGTAGAATAATATTTTCTTCACCACTGAATAACCCTGGCATGTCTGCACACATCAGGGGTATCAGAAGGTGGTCTTTGTGAGAAATTGAGCACTTCCTGGTAGAACTGCACTCACAGGCCTGTTCTCTGCTTCCTACGGCTTGCACTTTGACCAGGGCTATTTATGACCCAAATAAATCCAGCAGCCATGCACTGCTTTCCTTTCCTACCTTCCGATTCTGCTTGGCTTCTATTTATATTGAAGCGTATTAAGTTTATTGAAATAACATTTAGTCAAATTAGAAAACTAAAACAACCTTCTGTTGCTTTTTATATTTGTTTCCTTGGCTTTCTAAGTGCAGAGAAACATCCAGCAGCCTGAGAGGGAACCACCATGTCCTCCCCCTTCTCTTCTCTTCCCTTTCCCTGCCCTTCTGTATTCTTTTGACGGGCTTTTCAATGTCATGCTACTTTCTGAATAACCACTGCCACCAAGGCTGCCACCAAGAATTTTCCACCGCAAAGCACTGAAAAAAGCAGTCAAAGGCACTCTTGCGAAGCATCCTCATTAAAGACACAAGAGTCCTGGCAAACCTTCTGGGCGTTAATTTCATCTCCCGATGCTTTAACCCAAATAATCCGTAAGCCACCAGTGATGTATTAGAGATTTACAGCTTCTATAATTTATGTCATGGTACATCACAAATCCTCTTTTTCCTTTTCTTCCCCCAGCCCTCCCTGTCTTTCCTTCCTTTCAACAATATTTGGCAGTGCACTGCCCAGGGAAAGTAGGCTGTTTTACATTAGTCAGTAACACATTGAATCATGCCTCTGAAATGATTTACTAGGCATTATGAATTCTTATATGGCAGCTGAGGTTAATGATTAGACAAATAATAGATCACCAGCATGATTGGTTACATATGGCTTGTTTCTAATGCTTTTGTGTAGCTGGAAAATTACAACAAAGTTTTCTTGTTTTTGCAAAGTAATAACGTTTTCCCGTTTGTCGTCAGTCAGTCAGTTGTAATGAACAGGGTGTCACACTAGGACTCAGGAAACTTGGATTCAAATTCCCACTTGGCCATGAAAGTTCACTAGGCTGTAGCAATGGAAAAAACACTCTTTATAGTCAACCCTCAACTTACAAACTTAATCCGTTCTGGAAGGAAGTTTGTAAGTCGAAAAGTTTGTAACTCGAATCAGTATTTCCCATAGGAATGCACTGAAAACCAATTAATCCGTTCCGGCTGTTTTTGGTTCTTAGGTCGAGGGGCGGTTTGTAACTCGAATCATTAGTTCCCATAGGAACTAATGCAAAGCCGGTTAATCCATTCCTACCACTAGGGGCAGAATTTTTTTCTTTTTTTCCTATTAACCTAAGATGACTTAGGTTAAAAAAAAAAGGAAAGAAAAGAGGGAGGGAAGGAGGGAACAGACACCTTTTCAACAGATCACCTTGAAAAGCACCTTTTCAGCCAAGACAAGCACCTTCTGGGAAAAACCAAGCACCTTTCAGACAACAGATCACCTTGAGAAGCAAAGGAGGGAGGGAACAGCTTTTTAAAATCCAAAAAATCAAAAATGTAAAAAAAAAGCCAAAAAATTAAAATACAGTCCATACAGCAATGTACTAGGCAATAGCAGGGAGTGCCAGGCAGTCTGAAGATTGTCTCCAAATCCACTCTCAAAACTCTGGAAAGAGCGAGGAAGCAGACAGGCACCCTCTTCAATGGTCAACGGTTAACTGAAAGTTCGAATTTCGCACTTTCCCCACCCCCCGCACATTTTTTTTTCGGTTTGTAACTCGAATCTAAGTTTGCAAGTCGAGTCAATATTTTTCTATCAGAGTGGTTTGTAAGTCGAAATGTTTGTAACTAGAGCCATTTGTAAGTCGAGGATTGACTGTAATACCTCACATACCTTGGAAACTCTACTAGGGTCAGCAAAGTTGGAATTGACTTGACAACATATAACACACTGTTATGCTGGTCCCCAAAAAAGGAGCAGATGAGTCTACAACAGGGGTGGACAATTAATTTCTATAGGGGCCTCATGAAAAATCTGAACTATGTTCGGGGGCTGAACCAACTTGAAAATAAAATGAAACAATGATGTTATGTGAGCATTGTAATTAATTCACCATGGGGGGGGGAGAGAAAAAATCCCGACACTGAGCTAACTCACCTGTCCTCCGTTCCCCCACAGCTTTCCTCTCCGACTGTCTTCTATCCCGTGCAGGCGACGTGATGCGTCATCACATCGCCTGCGCAAGGTTCGCTTCCGGCCTCTTGAGTCGTAGGCTCCGCAGCCTACAGCTCAAAAGTAACAGTCAAAACTCATGAGATCCCAGCATCAGATCACGTGAGTTTTGCTTACTGCCCTGCTGGGTGACCGGAGCTGGAGTTCCGGCTCACTCAGTGGCAATGGGCAGGCTGGACAGGAGCGGCGACAGGTGAGCCAAACTGGAGCGCTGACTGCCAGGCTGGACAGAAGC